TATGCAAAGGACTCCCTATACTCCCTAGATTTATTGTCTTTGCTGTAGCACTGGAAGGGGGACAAATTCAAGGCAAACATCCAATAATTAGATTCTACACCTGGAAAATTATAATAAATTTATACATTTTCCGTATTTTGAACTTCATTATTGGGGGGGTATTATTTTATAATCAGGGTTGTTTTCTTTTCCAGTAAATATGGTATATAGCACTCTTGATTGTTCACAGTTCTTTCCAAACATCAATCAATTTGCACAATTAATTAATGTCCAAAAATGGACACTGCTGATGCAAGCAGAAAAGCAGCATATACTAAACGCTATCCAGTGGTATCTGATGCTGTCCAATGATAGGAATACCCCCTACCGACAATAGGATATAATCAACATCTTGTTAAATATGGTGACTGGGAGACTACATTAAACTTTAGTAAGTTGTTAATATTATCTCCATTATGCAGATGATAAATTGGAGAAGGAAAATACCTTTTCCAAGGACACACAGAGTAAGCTGATAGAACTTGGGGGTGATAAACTGCTAAATTTGTGCACTGCCTTGCAGACCATCTGGGAGAGTTAAAGTACTCTGCACTTTTGATGAAGGAACACTTGATCATCTCTGATTCTTAGGGTATGCTATATCAACTCTATGATATGTTAAAAAAATCTGTTATTGTGAGAATAATACTGAAGTTAAATATAAAACTGAATCAGCTTCTTTCAAACAGTTGCAACAGTCACTTCAATACGTTTTGTAATCACGTACTTATGTATTAGAACTAACCTAACATGCCTGTTCTTTTATGTTATTTTCTGACTTGTCTAGTCAGCTATTAATTCAGAAAATACATTTAATTAAACGTGCTTATTAAGTGAAGTTATATCTGTGTAGATCACTCTAAAAAACAATTCTACAGCCAGTGTAAATTTGCTTTCTCTCTACTTTAAATTGGACTTGATCCAGACAAAGTGCAATTCTGATCTGAGTTTACCCATACATAAAACCAGCATGACTTCAGTACAATTACTTGTTATTTACAGATGTGTAAATCAAAATTGATGAGGTTTCATCTTATGCATAAATTTGACCCTTCACAAACATTTATCTGCTTTTTTGCTGCATGATGTACTTCGATAGGACCCCAAACTTGTAGGAGGCCATGTCTATTGCCATTGGATGTCTGAGGGGCTGACACACCTGTGGAAACTTCTGGGTGGAAAGGCACTCTGAAATGATTCATCAATGCTCAGTTCATATTTATATTTACCATATGAACCTTTGACATTTCACTGTTGCACTGAGAAGAGAAATAGACGCACCTGATGGGATTTTTTTTCCTGAAGTACTTTAAAACAAATAAAAAACAACAGTCAGTGCTTTTTATTAGAAGGAAAAGTAAAGCAAAGGTGTGAATGTTTAAATAAGATTGTGTTTCACTGGAAACTGTGAAGGTAGCTCAGAACACAATGCTGCAGACATTGCTTCTATCCTAATACAATAGAAGCCTTTTAAAACATGCAGTATAAAGGGTAGGAGTTCTGAAGTGCCTACATATTTAGAAGACAAGTTCAAATACTCTCAGTCAAAACTTGTGTCTCTTAATTCCAAGGCACTCTAAAAATCTTACTGAAATATTTTACTAAGTCCGTCTCCTCATTTATTAGTTATTTTTTATTCTTTAGTTTTTCAGGAGCTAGGCAATGGTTTGGTGGCACTCTATTGCATTATAATATACCATTCAGATGTCAATAAAATATATTCCCACTAAACTACAATGAATGCCAGTAACTCTCCCCAAACTAAGCATATGCTATGTACCTGGGTGTGTAAGAGACCTAGAAACTGCATCTTTCTCATCAGCCATTGATGTCTATTTGCCACCTACTCTGAGCTTTAACTTTTCAACCAAATAAATGCAAAGGGTACTTTTAAAATGTGAATAAAATAAAATAATAGATGGTTATTTCTAAAGCCCTGTTAATAAATTTACAAGCTGTAATGTATGATATATACAGGAAAAATAGAAAATTTAACTTGAGAACACCACATGAGATATTTCTGTCTGTGAAAGAGGACAACCAATTCTCTTATAAGCCTAGGAACCAAGCTAAATCCTTCCATTTATAAATGTAGGAAAGAGCCATGCCATTTTTGAGACTTCTGCTGGGCAGCAATTTTTCCTGCTCCCTCTTTTCCTGTTTTAAATTTTAAATACTGCATAGGAACCATTTGCCCTGTGAGGTTTCCATAGTTAGGACCAAACCCTTCTCAGAGGAATTTTGGCACCTTATTAATTAGTTAGTTATGAGTAGAGGCTGCACTCTTTCAGTGACTCCTATTCTGCCATCAGTAAAGTGTGATCCTATAATAAATTTCCATCAAGCAAACTATTTCTGGTAATTCCCCCTAATTAACACCAGACTGTTAATAATAAATTAGCTCCTATGTGTTTCTGATATAACCAAGATCTTGCCTGAGCAAAAGATATGAACCCATGTCCTGAGAAAGTAAAACGCAAACCTAAATTAAGCTTTTGCTGGTAAAAGGCTTTATACGCAATTTTGCAAGAGAACCTTTGAAGATCTTATACAGAGCGTTATGACCAGCAAACATTTTGACTGACAGAGATTTGTTCTGGCTTGAGCAGTGAAAGGGGATTTATTGTGAAAACACACTGTTGAGTTTTAAGCCTATAAATCTTACACTGGATTACAGTGTCTTAATGAATGAATGACAGATCTCTTATTTTTTGTCGGTGCATTTTAACGCTAAATGATGTTGTGATTGATAGAAACCAAAGCTTTGCCATTAAAATGTCAAAGGTAGACTTGATGCCTTTAAAAGTTTGGCTTCTGGAGTTTAATATACTGTTTGCAAATAGACTTGCTTTTGTCTTATTTATAGCCTAAACATTGAAGGAGAGGCAAATTTTCTGTAAAATTGCCTCTAAATTTTATAGAGCCATGTGCAATTTTCTCCTCTGCTTGTACAAATAACAGTAAAAAAAAAACAACAGGGCCTTTGCCTAGTTAGGAGATACCCAGCTTGTGAAAACTGGGAGTAACCGCCCACATTACATTAGATGGTTAAGTATTCCCAGGTGAAAGCAGAGAAAGCTTTGTGCTGTGGCTAAATACAGTATCAGATAATGCTCCTCTTAAAAGATAGGATTGCTATGAATGGCGTCAGTCCAACAAAAATATCAACTGCATTCAAATATATGCTACAGAATAGTCTGGTTTTGGCTAATGTTGTGGAACAAAGAATGCTACATCAATAGGAATGGGCTTGTGTTATTGTTGTGTGCTACCTTGTGGAAATGTTGACAACAAACAAGCAAACAAACATGAAAATAAATACAACTCCAGAGCTATTTATTAATATGTGTACATCAGGATATTGCTTGGTTGTTTGTGCTTTTTATAGACATTTATTCAAAAACAAAACTAAGACCTTGAACAAAGATTTGTTTTATGAACTTTGCAAAAGTGAACAGACAAAATTAGAAGCCAAAGAATAACAAATACAAGTGAACAAATCAGAAAAATTCTTTAGTTGTTGATTGAAGTAAAGCAAGATGAAAAAAACTATAATCCGTGAATTGAAATATTTTCTCTTTACTGCTCTTAACCAAGCCATTCGTATTACCAGAAAACGCTAGCAGCTTAGCAAATGCAGCCAGTAATGACTGCTCAATATATAAGCACATACTGTACCACTAACCATCTTTTGCCTTTATATTTGCAACAGTGTTATATTAAAATGTAATTGTTATTTACTACTAATTCTATATCATGAATTAGTTAGAACATGCAAAATCTGCCATCTTGGTTCAGTTATACATCTTTAAATCCCTTTTACCTCAGACACAGAGTTTAGTCTTGTCCTCCAACAGGCCTAGTTTGAGAAATCAGTGACTGTATATGCATGCAGAGACTGATTTTCCAAAAAATGGCACATCTACAGGCACACCTGATGTTTACTGGAAGGCAGGTTTAAGCCCCTAAATTCTAACATTTGTTCAAAGGCTGGACCCTCCTCAATGAAGTCAGTTCTGGTGAAAAATAGTTGTGAAAATTGTGAAAACTCTAGTTTTCAGCATGGCTAGTTGACCAGTGCTGATTTGCTACATCAAGTCTGTCATCAGAAAAAAAAATTGTGTGCATGTATGTGTATACACACACACACACACACACACACACACACACACACACATGCACACACACACATGCACACACACATAAATCTAATGATTCTGGAGGTAAATAAGCAATGCCTCCTTAAAAATAAAATTGAAGATATTAATATGAAATACTTCTAACCACAATAATAAATATTCAGTGAGATACACAGCATTATAATAAAGTGCCCTACTAGAATCTCACCTCTTAAAAACATTTATATATTGACATACTGATCCTTTGGGTTTGTGCTGTAATTATAAAATGTGTTACCTCCCTTTAATATTAAAATAGATATCAGTGATTTTAAGTTATTAAAAAGAAAAGAAAACACGCTCAGAAATAGAGCACAAATTAAAAGGTGAACCAGCTGGTTAAAAAAATGCTATTAAGCCTTTCCAGGTTATGTTCTTAGCAACTGGGATAATTCTAAATCCTGGTTCACAAGGATTAAGAAAGATGATTCCAATAAATGTTTCAAGTGAAATAATTTTAGTACAACCCCAAGCAGAAAAAAATGTGTTACCTCTTGAAACCTATTGCATCCCTCCACTTTTCATATATTTTTTTAATTGCAGAAAGTGCAGTGCACTTCCAGCCTAGCCATTCTAATCTCCTTCCCAAACATGCGCTATGAATTTCTGTTGGAAGTATTTATTTGAGCCCCAACTTTGAACGTTTTAGTTGTCTCAAAGGCAATCTCAGTCTTCCTGCTTAAAATTATTCTTGATTCCTATATATTACCTGGCCTTGCCTCCCTGTTCAAAAATCTACTCATCTCTTGATTGTTCCATTTTGTTTATTGGGGGTTTTTTTTGGCCTATCCACATCAACCATATCTAGAAGACTGTAAACATTTTAAGTTGCTTTACAATATTTCTCCCATATCATTAGAAGTTAAAGTGTAGTAGCATTGAGAAAAAATACCCTCAGAAAATACAAATTAAATACTACCTATTGCACAGCCCTGTCTCAGTGAATTCTTCTGAATACTACAGATCCTTTTAGAGTTCAATACAATAGGTTTGTCTTTGTATATATTCTACACAAATATTTTCTTTACTGAACCATGGCAAACAAGAGTACATGTCAATTCTTTTCATTTTATTTTCCTCATATCATTACTAATAAACTTTTCCTTAGTACCAATTCTAAAATGTAAACGTGTACTTAACAGAAAGGAAACAAAGACTATCTAACTTCCCCATTTAAATAGGCAGTATATAAACCTGGCTTCAAGCAAGATTCTCATTTGGGACAGAAAGGACCCCTTCTCTGTTGGCTAACTCTCCTGGAGTGAAATTCACTTTCTGGAGAGAGTCAGTACCTCTTTCTTATACGTCTACAATTGCTGCTTCACTGGTGTCTAGGCTTTGTTCTGGCTCTGCACAGGGGCGATTTTCACATTAATCCAGAAAAGATGTTGGCAAAGTCTGTTGGTTTGGAATATGTGCATAATGACAGCATTATCTCTGTTGCTTTTCAAGAACTGAGAGATACTGAACTGCCTAACTCAATATTATATTATCCAACAATCCATTCTTTATGACTAGAGGAAGACTGAAAGAGACAATGAGCTAAACAAATCCTAGCATATAAGCAAGAAAATAGCTTGCACTAAACAAACAAACATCATATATAAATATATTCATGAGCTACATCACAGAGGCAGTGTTGGGAGAAAACAAAGTCCTGAGTTGCACTTCAGAACTTTCCCTCCTAACAGAAGGAAGAAGCCTCATCTTCTGGATACAAAACGTTGCTACTTGCAGACTTAACATAGTTTCTTTCCCTTTCTTCCTCCCCCAAGCACTTCTAACTGCTGAACTGTGAGCATACAAGTAGAGAAAATATTAAGTTTAAGATCTGATTAGACAGTTCCTGTCAGATGCAATTTCATACTCTGACACTTTTGGCTAGCCTTTTGGTGATATGCCACATCTGAAAGAACAGTGTTCCATGTGTCATCTCTGAGGCTTGAGGGGCACTTCTTAAATCATTACTTTCCATTCGAATAGCTATCCCATAATTTGGAGGTCACATATAAATCTCCACACTTTTCTTTGTGGGTCTATTAAAATTTGATTACCAGGGGCTTCATGCAATCCTGCAAGAGTGGACGACAAGCATGGACCATATGAGAGTGTTATCCAAAGTGAAGATTTCATGCATTAAAACATGTTCCAGATATCTTAATCCTTATCTTTAAGATTCTTTATCAGTGTTAATACTGACTGGATTTTAGTTTTAATGTTTTTAGATGTGTTTTTAGAAAAACATTCATACCTCTAATATGATTTGGATATCTAAGCCAATAACCCCTTTCTTTCTGAATAGCAGCAAAATCAGGTTTTATGATAGCAGATCTGAATTTGTAACTGCTTCATTAGTAATATTTAAACAAATATATATTTACCCATATAAATACTGAGACCAATACAGGAACATGCTGGGTGTGAAAATACAACCATCCTAACAATTAACTCTTAGCATTTAGGCTACCCACCCTCTTTTTACTGAAAGAAAACTGTTCTTTGAGAAACACTCTCACATCTTGCTTCTATTTCTAAAAAGATGCATATAGGTAACAAACAATTCATGGAAAATGGACAGCCAATGAATTCCAATCTTCCTCTCAACTCCTTAAGTTTGTTAAGATGTGGCCTAAGAATCAGAAGTTCACAGAGTGAGCATGTTTCTTGCATAGTGGCTTATCCTTCTTGGAGAAGAAAGTCTGACCCTCCAGACTGTCACAACACACCTGAAAGGAGATTGAGACAAAAAAAAGCACCCAATACATTATTTAGAATGCCAAATCAGGGTCAACACACATGGAACAAGGAATGTTATTCATTATTCAGGAATATGCATTGTGGGTGGAATATTAAGCAGTAGTGGTCAGTGTCAGCTTAACCGTTCCCCTAATGAAGTCGCTAGACTTTTTTCAGCCCAATGGAAGCACAGTGAAATCAATACTGAAAATTTAAAAATCCCATTGTCAGGTACTGTTTTTCCTCCTCATGCACTATAAATTGAAGTATAACAGCCCAACGTTTTAAATTAATCTACAAGATGTTCACGTCACTTGATGTGAATACAAACAACACTTTTGACATTCTAGATGCACACATTTCTTTATAGACTTTTAATGCTACCTTCAAGCAGTAAACATGAAAGGTTAAATGCTAGTACATGTGGCCATGGACCAAACCAAATGATCTGTACAGGTTCCAAAATTTCACAACTGCAATGCACCTTCCAAATAACTGTGAAAGTGTTTTTTGTTTAGGTTATGAGGATAAAAGACATTTCAAGCTGTTACTCCTGTATTGTTCAGGTTAGCGTAAGCACTGCTGCCACTGATATGTTTAAAACGCAGAACAGTTTTACTTACCGAGCACACAAAGCAGGTGTCATGCCAGGTATGGCCCAGGGCTTCAAGAAATTTGTCACCAGCTTCAATGGGAAATTCACAGCCATGGCACATGGTACCAAAGAGGGAATAGTAATCTGTACCATACAAACATAGTTTTATAGTATGAAACATGAGTGGGAAAGTGAGACTTGCAAGTCATTTTGTTTTTCAATAGATGGTACTGTGTTTTGCCTTTGACCTGCCAAGTTTCATAATGTCAGGAACAAACCTTCAGAGGATGGGTACACTAAGTTGGGAGTTCCTAGGCTGATAGACATGGAAAGTCTCTCTAACTCATAGCCTGATTCTTTTTGCAGATTCCTTTTCCTTCCACAAAGGGCCAGCGCAAGATCTATGGACTAATTGGGACCCATGCAAGTGTTATTTTGAGACCTGACCTGGTCCATGCTCATCCTCCACAGGGAGTAAGTTTTCCTTTGAAGGGAATATCTTTAATCTACACTCAGGTATAAAGGTAGTTGCCTCGTTTAGCTTTGTTACTGCCTAGTATCATAAAGTTTTCTGGTTTTCCTTTTGAGGCATCAGCAGTAAGAGAGACAATTTAAAGCAGGTGTTGGCAACCCCCCGCGCACATGCCAAAGTAGCACACAAAGGCATTTTGCTTGGCACATGTGCCTTGGGGTGGATGGTGGGAGAGCTGCGAGGGACCCCATCTTTGTTGTGGCGGTGCAAATCCAGCTCCTTCCCCACTGTCCACTGTGAGGCATGTGCACACCCACTCCCACCAATGACCTGGACTGCCGCTCCCCAGACCCCAGTGCAACTACTTGTAGCCTCCCTGCCACCTGCTGCAAGCAGCCTGGGCTCTGTGGCAGGCAGCAGGGGTCTGCCTAGAGCCAGGCCAGCTGTGATGGACAGCCAGGAAGCTGCAAGCGGCTGCATCGGAGTCCACGGAACCCCAACCTGGGTTGTTGCTGGTGGCGGATGCTCGTGCGCCTTGGGGCAGACGGCTGCCACAGCAAGGATCAGGCCCCTCACAGCTCCCTTGCTATGTGCCTCTGGCATGCCAACATTTTACAAGCGGAAGTTGCAGGTGCTTTTGGCACTCTGCTCCAAAAATGTTTCTAACCCCTGATTTAAAGGCTTCAGTTCTTTTTCTCCTTCATGCCTTGGATACTGTGGCATAACAAATTTTTTCTCTATTTTGTGTTTCACATAAGACTATCACAATGTGCCCTTCTGTTCAACCTCTTAATGCTGACAGACCAGTTAGAACACAATGCTTGGACATCCAGCATTTTAGGTGATTGTGAAGCTGACTATTTAATCTAGGCATCTACACTTGAAAGCTGGACACTCTGTAGGCTAAAAGTACAATTTTTACATTTTCTAATAAAACCCTTACAAATTAAAAAACTGGGAAGAAGGAAAGATGGGTAGGGCATGTACTCTGTGCCTCTCAGAAGTGTGCCATGAGCTCCTTAACCACATTAATAGAGAGGGCAAGTGAAGGGGAATTGACACTTTCCAGTGGATGAAGTTCCTTCAGATTTACATCTTATTAGAAAGCTGGCACCTGTACAAGAGATGACTGCCACCAGTGCCATGCATTATGAACATATGCATGGCATACGTTAGCAAGTTAATACACTAAGTTAACTTGTACAAGCAACCTTCTGACCCAGAAACAAGCATAGTACAAGGATACTATATATGGAAAATGTACAATTTGTCATAATTTTCCATGTACAGAATCTAATTATTGAATTAGGGTGATCTGAAATTCTTTGTTCAAGCCCCTGTTCAAAGCATGATTGTCACTGCCTAACCCATCCTCAGCCAAGTGCCTTGGTGTTCTCTTTTCTAGACTCAATAATCTGAGATCTTTCAGCCTTTTCTCATAGTCTTGCTCTGTCCTGGACTCTTTCCAATCTACCCTTATCTTTTTTGAAGTGTAGGGCCCAAAACTGGACACTCCTAGTTAGGCCTCACCAATGCCAAATAAAGAGGAAGAATCACTTCCCTTGAATTGCAAGTGACACTTCTTTTGATGCAACCCAGGGTACTGTTGTTTTTTGGCAACAAGAGTACTGCAAGAGTGCTGTTGGCTCATTTTCAGCTTATGACCTACTGTAACCCCCAGGTCCTTCTCTGTAGTACTGCAGCCTACCCAATCATTTCCCAGTTTTTATTTGTGCATGAAAATATTTTGTCTCAAGTGCAGGTCTTTGCACTTGTCCTTGCTGAATCTCATCTGATTGATTGTGGACCATTTTTCCAGTCTATGCAGGTCATTCTGGATCCTAGCCCTGCTATCCAGTGTGTGCACAGCAGTACCCAACTTGGTGTCATAAGAAAATTTGCTAAGTATGCTTTCAATTCTATCATCCAAATCATTAATGGTGGTGTTGAACAATACCAGACCTAGGACAAATCCCTGGGGAACCCCACTTGATAACTCCTCTGAATTACAAATTGAGCCACTGATAACTACTCCCTGAGCAGAATGATCCAATCAGTTAGTGGGATCTGATCCAACAAGTTCTCCAAAAGAATAGCTAATGGCTCTGCAGTTACCTCAGCCAATTATTCCAGTATGCTAGGGTGCATCCCATCTGACTTGAAAGCATCTAGCATTCCTAAGTAATCCCTAAACTGTTTTTCTACTACTCTAGACTGTTTGTCTCCCTATCTCTATCCTTATCTCTGTTCGCAAATACACTGGTCATTTGGTAGCTGCCCCTATATATGAAGGATGACATAAAAAAGGCATTAAATACTTCAGCTTTCTCTGCATCATTTATAACTAGATTACCTTCTGCATTCCATAAGGAAACTATAGTTTCTTTGCTCTTCCTTTTACTTTCACATACTTGTAGGATCCCTTTTTATTGCCTCCTTTGTCCCTTGAAAGTTGCATCTCAAATCATGACTTGGCCTTCCTAATCATCTCCCTACATGCCTGTGCACTTGTCTTATACTCTTCCTTAGTACTACGGTGAAGTTTCTACTTCTTATAGGATTTCTTTTTTGAGTTTCAACTGGTTAAAGAGATTGCTGAGTAATCAGTCTGGCATACTGTTGTGACAAAAATGGGAAGGGCGTTGAGGTAGCTTGTTCCTGTGTCCTTAAAAAGGCCACCTTAATGTCTAGCTTCCTTAAAGTATAGGTCAGAGGCATAGTGAACTCATTCAGCACCCAGGTCAGTTGGTGGGAGTATGCTAAGCCTTGTAGACGGAGGAATGCAGGGAAGGGAATCTTACATGCCTAGGCTGTTACTGCTGCCACTGTTTCTGCAGTAGCAGTTTGGACTCTAGCAGCAGCAGCACCATGGCATGGGCACTCCGGGACCTGCGTCTGGAAGTTTAGCAGCAGGGAGTGGCAATTAATAGGGCTGTGCAAAACTTCAGTTGCTGATTAGATTTGGAAAGATTGATGATTCGGACATAGACAACTTTAAATGTTTTTTCTATATAACACAAGGAACGAGGTGGCTCATGAATGCTGAGATGCTGGGGCAGATGGAGTGTCCCATAGGAGCATGGGGAGGTCCCCAGCGCACTTGGCAGTGGATCCAGAAGTGGACCAGAAACACTTCCAGTCCACTTCCTGGTCCATGGGGGAATGTGCAAGGGACCCCACCCCGGCTTGGCGACTGGTGCCTCCTGGGTGTGGGGGGATACCTGGGGTCCCCCTGTGGCCAACTGCTGATTTGCTGATTGCCGGGGGTGTGGAGGGATCCCCCGCGCACTCATCAGCAGACCCGGAAGTGACACAGAAGTACTTCCAAGTTTGCTGCACACCCCTAACAATTAGTGCTGCCACCACTCCCCTGCCACCAGATTTCTGGATCTTGGGGAACCCCATGGGCTGGATGACATAGTTCCTTGGGCCAGGGGTTAAGCACCTCTGGGCTACACTGAAATGAATAGTTAACAAGGGCTAGTTAGAAAATATCTGTCAAAATGAAGGAGAGAAAAACAAATACCTGGATATATATTTTTTAAAAACCCTAGCAGCAATCTTAGCTACGAATTTCCAGGAATTAATGGTTGTTTTTTAACAGCTCACCTGTTTCACAGTACGGATCCCCATCTTCCAAATGAAAGACATTATTGCGGATGGGATTATGACAGGCCACACACACAAAACAGGAAACATGCCAAGTTTGTTTCAGAGCATTGATGACTTCCTGTTGGTGGTTAAAAAATAAACATTAATAAGGTAACCTTGCTGCAATGAGTGAATCGGGATAATCATGTTCTGAACTTGGTGTTTTGCTTATCAAAATACTTTGGTTTTGTACTCTCCTGTACAAGCCGACTCTAGAATCAATGAACATTTACACATCTTGGTTGATATTATGCATTATAATCTACTCTGTTTTTGGTATGTGTGTCTCTATCTGTGAGAAAGGACTGGTTGAAAATTCTTTGGGTGACGTGGGGAGCTGAAATTTAACGGTATCAGTTCTCTTTGCAATAGGTTTCCATCTGTGGCAGTAAGCAGATGCTGGGGAAGTTTGTTACTTATTCATATTGAGCAGTACACATCTCTGAAAGCAACCCCACTGATTTCAGACAGCATGTCTCAAATTTCATGAAGTCTGGGAATAATTAATCAGAACATGTTAAAGAATTATGACTATGTTGTTCTGTTTTGAAAGACGATATAATAGTGAATGTGACTTAAGGCCTGCAGTGCCAAGGCCACAAGTTTGCACTTCGAGATGAAAAGGAATTTTTCTACCCAACTTGGTTGGGAATATTTCACTGAGCCTCAAGGCCAGCCAAAAAACACATCCCACAGTGTCCAGCAAAATGTGATTATTTCTCCTTGTTCTACATTTTTCTCTTTAAATTCTGTAAGAATCTGCCAATTAAATCTCTTTTCCTAAGAATATCTAAGAACTAGGAGAAAAAGCTGAACTCTGGAAAGAGAAAATTACAGATTCTCTTCTTCAATAATGCTAGAGATAAAAAGGGCAGACTGATATTGGCATGGCTAGAACTGTATACCCTATAGTCTTATTTACATAATGTCAGCTTTAATGGAGCTAAATTAGTTACAGAAGAAGAGAAATTAGCTATAAAAAGGGCTTCTAAATTCTGACAGGACCATGGTAAACATCCTGCAATATACATATATGTCTCATCTAAATACCTTCTCTCTCTCTCTCCACACACCTATACATGCATACATACACACACACACACGTGTGTGTGTGTATTTAGATGAGATATATGTATATTACAGGATGTTAAACTACCAGTACTACCACTGTTGAATAATTCTGTGCCCATATATATATTCTATGATCCCAGATTAACATAGCTGATGTACCAAGGCCACCTTAATGTCCATATATATATATATATATGGGCACAGAATTATTTAACAGTGGTAGTACTGGTAGTACCATGGTTAAACATCCTGAGAGAGAGAGAGAGAGAGAGAGAGAGAGAGAGAGAGAGAGAGCGCGCTTCCCTATTTCTGCATCTTAACCCAATGTATTGTAAATGGAAAAGATCTTCAGTGGACTTGCTACTGAAAAAGAACAAAATGTAATGATCTGTAATAAAGTTTTTCAAGCAGGCAAATATTTTCCATTACACACAGAGAAAAGTGTCATTAATATTCACCATTTATGTAAGCCATGCATGGCACTGATTACTTACTCCAAGTATCTTCCTCTGGCATCGAGAACACTCAGGAGCAAAGAACTTTTCATAACAGACCTCACAGTAGAGGGCCCCTTTCTCTTCCACAAACCCAATATAAGCCATGGAGGTTTTGCAGTGGGCACAATTAAACTCCTCTGGATGCCATGATTTTCCCAAAGCCACCAAAAAAGGTCCTCTGGTTAAAACAGAACAGACTAGTTTAGACAATGTTATGCCACTGTAGTGACAGCAATGGGAAGTTTAAATAACTGATTTATGTAAATCACTGCTAATGACTCTGTAATATGCATTACAAACCTTTAATCAATCAATATCTTTTGCAGTGTTGAATAATTCTGTGCCCATTTTAACACATTTCAAATTAAGCCTAAAATGATTTTTGGTCATAATGTGTGCTAGTGGCTTTTTGTTGCACTGCATTTCAGAGTTTTATTTTTGAACACTATAAAATATAGTGCTAGAGTGCTGGTCGTTGTTCAGGAAGAAAAAAATGTCTCTTTGCATTCCAAACTATCTCCATCCATTGCAAAAAAAGAAAGATACTTAATTTAATTATACTTTCCTTCAGCGTACATTTGTATCAAGGTTACTAATGTTAAAATAGATTTAGCTCCATTAAGACCTAATAAGATCAGTTCCCCTGGAGAAAAAGAAAAATTCAATAGAGGTTTTCATGCAGCAAGTTTGTTACAGGGATTAACTATGCCAGGTGAGACATGGCAGTTTTCTACCATCATCAAAAGTTAGGCAAGTATATTCCACGCCCAGAATAAAAGAAAAAGTCAAGCTATCATAGTTTATTTAATATATGCAAAATGCTGAAGCTTCTAAAACACTAATTTTGGTACATCAACTATGTTAATCTGGGATTACAGAATCATAGAAATTAAGGGCTGGAAGGGACCTTGAAAGATCAAAGTCCAATCCCTCTGCTCTAGGCAGGAATATTGCTGAGATCAAATGATCCCAGCAAGCCTAGTTTTCTCTGTTTAAAAATCCAAAATTCTTTGATTAAAACCCCCTAAAATCCACGTTTTTCTGTGGTTAAAATGAAACACCACTACATATATAGGTATCAGTTGGACACAATACGTTATTGTTATATTTACAATTTTAAAGCAGACTGCTGGTGCCCTTCACTCCTGCCCCTCTGCCCCTCACCCACAGTCCCCCAGTGTGTGGGATAGGGAGGGGTGAGTGGAGTAAGGCAGAGATGTGTGAGGCAGCAGGGGTGCCCCCCCCCAGATTTGTGCACGCACAGCGGGGTTTAGGGCTACAGCCTGGCTAAACTGGCATGGGCAGGAGCCACCTCCGTGGCCCAGCTGGGGGAACCTGGTGCAGGAAGACAGGATGGGGCAGCGAGTCTTGTTGCCACTGCCACCAGGACCCCTACACCAGCCAGGCTACCAGCAGCACATGGAATAACAGACTGAGGGGGTGAGACTGCACTGCCCTCACCTCTTCCCACTGCTAGCTGCTCACATGCTGGGCTGCAGCTCTATCCTGCTACCATGGCCTGGCCACTGCTACCACTCCCCTTAGGCCACCTGCACTGCTTCCCACCCCAGCCCACCACCTCCAGGGTAGAGCCACAGCTGAGTGAGTGAGCAGCTGGCAATGGGAGGAGGTAAAGGCAATGCCTTCCCCCAGGTCTGTTACTTAGTGCATTGCTGTTGACACAGCTTGTGCAGGGGTCCCAGTGGTGGTGGTAGCAGCAACAAGTCGCACTACCTTGCTTCATCCTCCCCTGCTGGGCCATAGAGGTGACTCCTACCTGTACTTGTCCAGCTGGGCTGCAGTCCTGTGCTGACTGCAGCAGAAATTTGCAGGGCACTTGCCCCACAATACCCTGCCGTACCCCCCACCCCACAGATTTACCTGTGGGGAGCTGTGGGAGCTGCTCTCCACCATGCTGCCTGACTGCTGCAACCACATGTGCACGTGTACATGAATGTGGTGTCCCCTACCTGTGGTCACACTCCTCCTGCTCCCCCCAGCCCCAAGCAGCCCCCTGCAGGCTGGAAGAGTTCCAGCCTGCAAGGGGAAACCCATGGTTTCCCATGTTTTTCTCCTTTAAAGGAGAATATCCATGTTTTTCTGTGGCAAATGGAATACCTGGATCCATGGTTATCAGGCAATATGAATCAATCTAGTGCATTAGCATCCACCATATTACCAAATGAAAAAAGAAATAACATAAGGACTCAGAACATTTCTGGACTAAGACAGCAATTTTTTCTTACTACTAAAACAACTGGAGAAGGGAGAGAGAAGGAGATGTATTTTTGCAATTAATTTCCAGGGAAAAGTGGGGTGAGGAGATTGGAGGTAACCACAGGATTGGAAAGTAAGTGGGCAGAAGAGAGTGGGAAATTTTACTGAAGGAAGGTGTGGATAATTCTTCTTCTTTTCCACACCTATTTGTTAATTTGATGGAATACCTGCCTTAAAAAACAGGAGAGGACAGCAAAACAACACAGGATAAAAACAAACTTAAAATGGCTCGGGTTTCATCTTGTAAGACGAACAGAATTTATTTACAAAATAGTATCTGATCACATTTGACCACTGGCAAAAGTAGTTAAACAGTTTTAAGAAAACTGTTCTTGTACCTTTGAGAAATCAGTCCAGAATTACTGTAGCCAAACTCCAGACTTCCTTGTGGATGCCTGAACAGTGCAAACACTGACCTAACTTGATACCCTTCAGCCTCTGTACAAGCACCTTTTTACATCAATGCCCTTTCAGTTATGTACAGATCAAACAATACAAGTCCTTATGTACAACAAAATGCACTCTTCTCACAGTGTCAGCACAGGCTAATTTAACGGATTCATTAGCACAGGACTGACACTGAGGCAGTTCTCTTAGCTACAGTAGGATCATGTTTCTAGTCATCTGTACCAAAATGACAGGCTTGAATAGCTGCAAAGTGGAAGGAAAGTACTCTAGTAAAGGGAAAGGAAGGACTTTTTACAACATCTTTTACATTTAGCTCCCCACAACTTACAGTTTGACATTTTGAGGCTAGCTTTTCAAGACAGCATGTTGGACTACCAGTGGACAGGAAATGATATAACACTGTATCTAAGCACTTTTCCTTTCCAACAGTTCCAAGTCAAATGTGGTAGCAATATCTCCTAGGATCAAAGCTGCATGCCTGCACTCACATGTTCACAAATGTGCAACTGCTTAAATTGTGCAAATGCTTAAACATGTAAGCCTGAGTCAAAAACTTAATCACATCCACAATTTCAAGAAGCAATCACATTCAGCTAAGTTGCCATGTGGACTGTATCATGATACCAAACCAAGAATGTAACTTAGTGGTAAGAAAATTGGAAATATCTAAATCTGCTCACTAGGTAAAAACACTTCATATTTAACTAAATGGAGCACTTAAAAAAAAGGAAAAGAAAAAAAAGAAGATTAGGACAATTTTCTCCTTTTTCAGTCACAGGCAAACTATGACATGCAATTTTTATATGAGAAAAACTGCATTTCTAATATTTACCTGTTGCAGCATTAAAATAATTCAACTACATGAAGATATCTTAAAAAATAAATCACCTATCATACACACACACACAGAACTACATTCCTAATAGAGACCCTGGGAACACAAATTTGGGTTTCAAAGTGCCAGCCAGTTCCATATTTCAGCATTCAGACACTTACTGAGTTTCACAAACCTTTAGGAACTATCAGTTACCAGTCTTTCAGATCCTCATTACAGATATTTCACAGAACACAGTTTGACTTTGGTTTCAATACTGCCACCAAAAGAAAGAAAAGTGAAGTAAAGTGAAACTCTAGGAAAACCTTGAAGCCTTTAGATTATTAGCATATGAATAATTAAGGCTATATTAAAAAGTTGTAAGATGTGTTTAAGAAATTTTTCTTTGGCTCAACAGGCCTGGCTTATTCTATGCCTTAGTGTAAAGTAACCAACTCTACAGTGCATTTTGGCTGCAAAACAGGTGTACAATGGAATGTCACTTGATCCTGCTCCTACCTTTTCATAGGTAATACTACCATTAAGGGCATGAACTGTAATTATGCTAAAACTTGAACTCCAAAACCTAGCCTGGTCTTCCAAACCACTGTTGTACAGAAGTAGCAAGCCAATTTACTATGTTGATTAATGTACTGTCAGTTGATCATAAAATGAAATCATCCTTGTTTTTAATAACTGTGCTTGCATTTACAAGATACAAAAATGTAACCTATGGAAAGGACTGGGATAATCTGAAGCAATATAAAAATAGACTACTGAAAGGCAGATAAATCATCATATGAGACACTATTTTCTTTATATGCATAACAAGTAGACTTCTTTTAGAAAAGAAGCAATAGTAATCTTAAAATTGAATATGGTATGGAAATTTTACTGCAGCTGTCATTTTTATTTGTGTTCAAAAGGTTGTTCAATCCAATATTATAGGCATAAATTCTCCTATAAGAGTTTATACGATTTATGTAGGAAATAGTTAGAATTAATGGGAAAACGAATCAGCATGCAGGTCCTCTAACATTTCTAAGTGTTCATTAACGATATGCCAGCAATTCTAGAGCAAATGACAAAATTGTAGGTACTGTTAGTCAGGACATCACACTTTTTGAACATATGGACCACATACACCCCTGTTCGCAATTAGGCAGCTCCCCTCCCACCTCATGAGTGATAAAAAGCATCTATGTAGTAACAATAATAGCTGATTTTACAGAAGTGTGCGTGCATGTGATTTAAAGCCTAGGCTTCCTGATCATACACCAGAGCCTCACTCAGATGCTGCGAACACAAAGAAAGACAATGCCTCCACCAAAGAGCTCACAATCTAGAGTAATAAAGGGAGCAAATATTTAGTATATTTAGATCCATTTAAAGTTTACATTGGAATGGCTGCATGGCTACATTTGGAATTTAGATCATACCATCAATATCTTGATATTTAATTGAAATAACAGAAAAATTTAAATTAAATCTTTCCAATATATCTTCTCACAGATCAGTTACCAATTAGAAGTCTAAAGTTAACCTAATGTTAATTGACCTGATAGGGAACTATCATAATGAAAATCTAATGAAGGCAGAAAAAAGCTGAGTTCAATTCAGCTGTGTATATCATGTGGCTACAGAGTTGGCTCAGTTTGTATGACTTGGATTGCAAACCATGGCTGTAATAAAGTTGATTGCTTACTATGTTTGGAAACATTAATGCATGTAATATGTGTATGGTAATTTTTACGAAAAGTGAATCTTACGAAAAGTTTCCAATTCTGATCAAGGTGGCTTGTTTTCTCAGCTGCAGGGAAAATTATGGTGCATTGCCAATTTCATCCTCTTTTGTAGTTGAAAAAGGTTAATAAATGTTATAGAACACAAAAGGAAATGTTACCATAATATATTTTGCTATGAGTTTATGAACCTGAACAATCCAGGTATGCCATGTCTGCTTTTCTCTATTTTTATACTTTAAAAAAAAAATTGACCATGAGAACAAAAGATGATTCAAAAATATATTTCCAAACTACAACAAAGCTGTGAGGAGATGCATCTCTTCCCAAATGACAGGGAACTAAGCATCTGGAATGATCACCCAGTCATAAAATGCATTCACAATCCCTTTGATGCGCGGTCCAAGAACTACTTGACAGAAGTCACTGGCTATGCTGTATACGCAGGACACCCTTCCTTTTGGAATTTCTGATGAAACAAGGAGAGCACTGTTGTACAATGGGATGTATTTAGCACAATCTCAGTCACAGAATATTTATCTAATTTAACTTCAATCAACTTTTAAACTTTTTTAGGTAAGTCAAAGTCATGGGACACTAATACCCTTGGATGAAGGCCAACCTTGGATGATGATGGCATGGATACTGAGATCACGCATGTCAGGATAAAAAATTGTACTATAGTGTTAGCTATGATTAAAACTTTTTTTTTTAAATGCATGATTCGGACTAGAAGATTTCCTCCTTTTTTTCACTTACCCACTCTTGCTTAAAGTATACTTTGTTATTGCTTATATGTTTTCCGTATTATCTATTTGCCTTTCAATCCATTAACTCCTAAGTGACTGGACTGGAAATTGTGATTTACTCAAAGCTGGCTTAGTTGTTTTAGGTTTTATTTTTTTTGCCTCCTGGCCAACACTTCCATTCATAAAACAGGTTCTAAAATTGCTCATGACTACTGAGAGTGAATAGTGGCCTCTACATTTGCTACCTGTATTACCAGTTTCAGACTCAATCTGTTAGGTGAATCATACATGAAAATGGTGTGCTGTTTTAATGAAATGGAGCCTTAATGCATATTACTAAGTAATAATAAACAACGGAACAAAGCTAGTCTTTCAAAATGATTTTAGCATAAGATGTTCATTGATGGATACAAACCTAATGACCTGATCACACTGGGCACACATCGGGGTACGCTTTCCTGCTGGAATATGCTCCGCTCTTTGAATTAAAGTGTCCTGCTCTGTTAGCTGAGGTTGCATTAAAGACTTAGTACTTGCTGCAGCTGCTCCAGATGGTGCAATACTGTTTGATGTCCATCCTTGTGCTGGAAAACAATGTACAAAAATATATCTCATTAGCTTCAAGGAAGTACAGTCGTAAGTATGTTCAGTGCTTGGTTAATGTACATATAGGCTGTTTACAGACGTAAAAAAGAAAACAGCGCTTTACTTTAAACTCGGCGTGCTCCTGCACCAAGCCTGGCATACGACCAGAAGAGGTACTGCATTAGTTATACCCAGCGCACCCAATGTCTGTGTACACCGAGTACTTTAGTGAGGCTTTTTTTGGTGCTTTTAGCTAATAGGCAGTCGAATCAACTTTAGATCAGAGCCAAAAAGTGCTGCTAATGTGCCTGATCTATGTAGATACTGCAGAACCAGGTCAAACTAATGTGGTGTTTCCTCCAGTAAAGAGCTTTTTTTTTTTTTAAACATCTGTAAGCAGCCATAAATTATATGTAGTATGTAGATTATTCAGGAAGAAGAGCAGTATGGTACAATGATTTGAGATTTATATTTCCACCCAACATGGCTGATAAATGCCCACTAAAGGCACACCAAAAGCCCCCTACATATCTTCTGAAATTTCTACAAAAAGGCATTAAATGGTTTTCAGTCAACTGGGAGAAAGGGGTGTACAGAAATGGATATAAAAAACAACAAAGATGACAGACCATACAGCACAATGATCTCACCATGCTTTGGATGGGTTAGGCTAAAATGGGAAGTGTTGTAATATTTTTGGGGCTATTTCCATGGTGCCTTAAATTGAACACGTGGCAGGGTTAAGCCCACCCAGGGTCTCCCACCATCTCAGTGTGGTTTCCATCAGCCAACAATTAGCTGATCATTGGTTGGATTGGGACCACACCACGGCTGACAGAGCACCAGTGGTGTACTGTCCATAATGCTTGCAACTTGCTGGTGCAGGGGGAGCTGGGATTATGATCCCAGGTTCCCCCCTGCACTGGCAAATAGCACGCAATTGGGATCTGATCCTTGATCCAAAAGAGCATGTCCTACCAGCACACGTGGCACGCCAGGAAGTGCCACCACTGGTAGCAGGGATCAGATCCCATTGGGCACCTATACACAGCAGCGAGGTCGCTCTAATGCACTGTAATTAAAATGCATCGGAAAAGACTCAATTAATCAAGTCTGCTGGAACGTGGTAATTAGTGTACTCCAGCATCTCTTGCATTAGCATCCCCATGTTTAAAAATGGCAGCAGGGGCACTTTATCTAAAGCTTATTCACTGAGCTTTAGATAAAGTCCCCCTGCCGCCATTTTTAAGCGCAGGGACACTAATACACGAGACGCTCCAGGCGCTTTAATTAGAGCAGCTCTTTGAGTCACACTAATTAAAGCACCCACTCCCCCTCCCCACATTGTGCCTTTAAATGAATGGCTGTCAGTGGCCTTAATTAGTTTCAAGTCTTCAATACTTTGTTCAGGCAACATCGATCAATGTGATCTGGGTCTTGTTCCATCAGGTGGCTAGATAGTGAATCTGAAGTTTGATTTAATTACTTGAAATATGTTGAATTACTTGGTAAGGAACTCTACAGACTAGGTCTCCCAAGAGACACGATAATCTCAATCAAATGAAATAACCAGTTCTTTAGGGTTTGTCTATATTAGTAAATAGGCTACAGCAGATATTCTTAAAATGAAAAAGGACTGCCCACACAGAGGCAGTGCAGAGGAGCTACTGTGCATAAATTCACACACTTATTTTGCAATAGATTCCCATACAGACAAGACTTTAATCTCATTTTTCTCATCAATGGAATGAAAAAACAACTTTACGCGTTTCTGAATAACTAGTCACTGAAATAGAAAGTTAATAAGTTTTCAAAATGGTCTAAAAATGCATGTTTTATTACTTGAAAGAAATTAAAAGCCTGCATTAATTAAATCAAGTAAGAACAAACATGAAAAGTACATTATAAAGCCATATCCACTAGTCACCCAATATGATTTGCTAAACTGTTTTCTGTTGTAAGAATACTTAGAAGCAAAAGAGAGTCAATTCCTAGAATTTGAAGTAAAAGTGAGAGGAGGGAGGAACAACACTTTACAGTCAAAGAACTGCATCATCCAGCAATGACATGAACCTGGCCTCCTTCAGCATTGCTTAACCACTCTCAGGAATTTACACCAGAATTCAGTTGATAAATTTTCAGAAGGAATCCTGTAAGTTTAACTGAGCAATCACTTCAAGAGCTCCAGAAGTTATATTGCCTGTATGCCTATGTATTAAAAACTTCAAATGTAGATACTGCATTGCTTTTGATCTTAATAGTATGAAAACGCACACTCATAGAGGTGTGAGATGATGACTTTGAAGTTGTTGTGTTAACAAATCACTCAAATGCTATACAACCATGACTTGGGCTCATATACCAAAGGACATTCACAGCTAAACACCTTCAGCAAGAGTGCAGTAGGCCAAAAAAGTCAACTTTCTCCCCCCTACCCCTTGAATAGACATAGCCTAAAATACCAAATACCAGTGCCATATAAAATAGATGTGCTTCACACAGAAGAGGAAACCATGACTAATGGGTCTTAATAAAGATGCAGGATTTTTTTTTTTTGTCAGTCACTTTAATTTCACTACCACTGAGAAGCACCAGTATATGGAGAAACTTAATACTCTGTATTAAGCTTCCTCAAGAGCTTCCCTCTTGGTTTTCTTAGCTATGGATTCTTTAGCCCTTTTATATCCTAGACTAGCCTATGAATCAGTATGACATTGGAAACAGAATCTTCCCTGCCAACCTGTTAGGGAGAAGGGGGGGGGGGGGG